AGATGGTCTGGAAGGATGGTGTTGAAGGCAGAGCTGAAGTCCACAAACAAGTGTGTTATCTGTGACACTTGTGAGGTTATCTCAAACACACTCCGTCAGTCTTGATGCTGTTGAACAACAAAATGTTTAAAAATGTCGCGAGTTTACCTGGTGATATTCTCATGCGCGACACGATCGCGAAAACAGCAAACAATTAACACCACGCATGCTGTTCACAGGACAGCAAGAGTAAACGATCGGGAGACTCTAGTTGTCGTTATTGTCCCCCTCCTACGTTTTATTACTCCGATTTCAGCGTTTTTGCTTCACAACTAAAGTGTGCAGTTTACTTTGTGTGCACTAACATGGACTCTAATCAAACGACGGCTCTTCCTCGAGCAACTGGGCAAAGTGCTCGCGCTCCCCATGCTCGAAGCCAGGGCGTTAGTACGAGGAGGAGGTGGAGGCCGAGTCACGGCCCGAGGTACTACTACTGAAGCTGATGATGCTGATGCCGATGCTGCTATTGCTGCTGCTTGTACTACTCGTACCACCACCACTGCCAACGCTACGCGAGTCCCAGGAGCAAAGACGTGAAGACCAAGATCCTGTGCCACGAGTGCCGAGTGTACGTGTGCACCAACTGCGCCGTCACGTACTATCCCAACTGCGCCGCTTCCCGCACCGCTGCTTCCCGCATTGCTGCTTCCCGCACACCACCGACATCGTAATAACACAAGTGCTTCTCGGGGGTCACTACGACTCCCACCCTATCATCGTCATAACACATTTGCCCCAAGGGGGTCACTACGACCCTCCCATCACCACCATCAACACCACCATCATCATCAACATAATAACACACACGCCCCACGGGGGTCACCACGACCCACGCCCCAAGAACAAGGGTTAAGACACAACCTTTCTGTCTCTTATGACAAAGCCTGTTTCTTACTCATTTGACAAAAATCCTACACAGTATTTTAAAATAATGACATCTATGTTTTTGTTAAGAGGTTGCAAGTAGTAGATTATAAAGAAATGCTGGAACGAGAGAAAAATATTAGCTAACAGGACTGCAGGTTTAAAATGAATAGAAGTAAACTGTGAGGTGTTTGTTAGCCGTATAGTGAGTTAATGATGAAGAATTTATAGTCTGTTAGTAGTTTTCATGTTTGCTTGTGGGTGCTCCAGTTTTCCTTTCAAGGTCAAAAGATGTGTTTGTTAGTGTAAACTTTGTTTCTTTATTTTTAAATGACCATTATTGATGATTTAAAATAGACAAAGCACAAAGTTCATTGTAAAAAAGAAAAGCACTTTATAGTACTGTGCTAAAGTCTTGAGCCTCTCCTTATTCCTTTAAATTTTGGTTACAGGAAGCAAGCAACTGTCTTCGACATTTTTTAAGAGCAATCTTTCTCCAGGTTTTCTGAAGGTCTTTCTACAGTTTTTCTTTGGACACTGGCTGCTTTTTCACTCAGGTTTAGGTTGCATTAAAAAATAAAGGTGTTCATACCAAATATTGACTTTCAGTCTTGTTAGAACTGAACAATCTCAGCTTTTGAGTTATGTACTTTATTTCCATACTTGTCTGCACATGTTTTAACCCTTTAAAGCCGGTCAGAGCGGGGACTATTTTTAAATCCCTGTAGAACTGGAAGCACGTAAGCTAGGCAGTAATTTTTTTTTTTGCATATGAAACTGGAGGAGTTGTACTTACATCTTATGCCATCCGCTTGTCTTAGGTCACGGTTTCCTTCCACATATAGCTTTGTAAAAATTTCATAAAAAGCGCTTGCAGGAACGAAAACATAATACTCCAGAAACACACTTTGCCGATCCGAGCAGCTCATAACACTTCCTACATTGAAATAGACGCCAGCGCGAACTATCGCATGTCCGCCATTACCTGTCCGAAACCCTAAGTGACGTCATTTTCGCGGAAAATATAGTTTTTTACTTGTAGGCCTTATAAGCTTTTACTGGTGTTTTTCAATTCATCCATCTGCTTATCCTTTTCAGGGTCGCAGGGGGCGCTGGAGCCTATCCCAGCTGTCATAGGGCGAGAGG